GCTTGTGGTCCAGGGAGCAGGGGAGGCAGCCAGTAAGGTGGAGAGGAGACCCTGGAGTTGGCAAAGGCCTGAAAATATGCCCCGTGAGCACAGGGCTGCCGATGTGAGTACAGTGACCAAAGGCCAGGTGACAGCCTCCATCCAGGCCTCTTCCTTTCTAAACCCACTCAACTGGGTCTCCTGGGGTCACTTTCCCTGGGTAAATGCAATCTATATATATAAAAGCCTAAGCAACTGTTACAACCCGTCTACCAGTTGCTATGACGCGCACTGACCACCAGGGGGCAGACGCTCAATGCAGGAGTTGCCCTCTGGTGGTCAGTGCACTCCCACAGCCAACCTCCCACGGCCCCTCCCACCAGCTGGCCAACCTCCCGTGGCCCCTCTTCCTACCCCCCTCCACCCCTGCTGGCCAGCCCCGATGGACCCCAATCAGTGTGGCCAGGCTGAGGGACCCCACCCATGCACAAATTCGTGCACTGGGCCTCTAGTCCTTTCATAAGAAAAGATGGCCGGGAAGGAAGGTTGACTCTACATGAAGGCCCTTTACAGACACTTAACACATCAAATCAGAACGTGAACAGACAAGTCCCAGCTGCACACCCCACCAGGGGCAGGGGCAGCGTAGCAGTGAGTCAGACTACAGTGTGCGCGGATAGAGACATCGTATTTAAAAAAAAAAAACCAATGGCCCAAAGCGACTAAAGTGAAATGAATTCACATCCATTTATGTTATGAACAGCCGGAACCTTTTCATTATCAATATTAATGGGAAGATTTCATTACTTAACCATCCCTGGGTACAGCTGGGATGCAGACTACATTCAGCAACCAGGGCATTCGTTATACTGGCTGCAGAGCAGTTTTGGATTTTGGGGTGTGTGTGTGTGTGTGTGTGTGTGTGTTTAAAGAGACAGAATAAATCATGGCACATGGTTCCTGGGTGGGGCGAGAGCCTCCCCTGGGGTATGAGACAACATTCCACAGCTCCTAGTCCCCTTGTCCCTTAAGATTCTCACTCTTGGGGAGGGTGTTTGGATATTTGGAAGGTCAGACGCCTCTAGCTGGAGCTTTCGCCTCTGGGTGGACTCAGGGTGTCCCTTGAGCACCTTGGGGTGCAGAAACAGAACTTCCCTTTTCCTCTTTGACTTTCCCCCGGAGTTGCCCTTGAGGAGGGGGGGAGAGCGAGAGCCGTGGCACTTCCGTTCCCATGCAGTGGGGTTGTCTATTGCAGGACTGTTTCCCCACAGAGCTCTTCTCTGTTCTCCTCACCTTCTCCCTCGAGCAGCTCTGCGAACGGTCGCTGGTCCCATTGGTTCCTCGCTGCGAGTCAGCTGCAGAGAAATCCACGCTAAGCCAATAAGAAGGGATTTGGGGGAAGCCGGAGTCCACAGGTCTCACAGCCAGCCTGAGTGGGAATCTTCCAGAACGGGTTGCAGACCAGCTCCGGGCGCTGGCGTAAGGCTATTAGCAGAGCGCAGGTCGCCCCCAGAGCCCGTGGTTTGAGAATGAGCTGGCTGAGCCGAGGGCTTTCCCAGCAAATCCGTCCTCTGGTTGGCGGTCAACTCCTTTTGGGTGGAGAGGCGCGAAGCAGGCTCCGTTCCCTTTCCAGATGAGAAAGGAGGGGGCTCAGGGAGACTCAGTTTCCCGGGGTCTCACGGGTAGCCAGGGCAGACTTGGGGTTCAGACCCAGGCCTGATCACGGGATTGATAATACGGGCACTGGATGAACTTCACGGCACCCAAAGCCTCCAACCCAGAGATGCACAGGGAGGTGTCTACTTCTCTGAGCTGCTTCCCTGAGACCAGAGCCTGCCCATCCCTACGCAGGGGTGGGGACGCTTGTGGTCCAGGGAGCAGGGGAGGCAGCCAGTAAGGTGGAGAGGAGACCCTGGAGTTGGCAAAGGCCTGAAAATATGCCCCGTGAGCACAGGGCTGCCGATGTGAGTACAGTGACCAAAGGCCAGGTGACAGCCTCCAGCGAGAGCCGTGGCACTTCCGTTCCCATGCAGTGGGGTTGTCTATTGCAGGACTGTTTCCCCACAGAGCTCTTCTCTGTTCTCCTCACCTTCTCCCTCGAGCAGCTCTGCGAACGGTCGCTGGTCCCATTGGTTCCTCGCTGCGAGTCAGCTGCAGAGAAATCCACGCTAAGCCAATAAGAAGGGATTTGGGGGAAGCCGGAGTCCACAGGTCTCACAGCCAGCCTGAGTGGGAATCTTCCAGAACGGGTTGCAGACCAGCTCCGGGCGCTGGCGTAAGGCTATTAGCAGAGCGCAGGTCGCCCCCAGAGCCCGTGGTTTGAGAATGAGCTGGCTGAGCCGAGGACTTTCCCAGCAAATCCGTCCTCTGGTTGGCGGTCAACTCCTTTTGGGTGGAGAGGCGCGAAGCAGGCTCCGTTCCCTTTCCAGATGAGAAAGGAGGGGGCTCAGGGAGACTCAGTTTCCCGGGGTCTCACGGGTAGCCAGGGCAGACTTGGGGTTCAGACCCAGGCCTGACCCCAGGTGAGGTTTCCCAGGGAAAGGGAGTGGGGGGCGGCTGATACATCATCATGGCCCAGACCCAGGCCCCCGGGGGAGGCATCTTGCTCAACCAGGGGAGAACCCGTTCACACGGCTCTCTGATTTCCAAAGTGGGTGCCACGGAACTGCCTGCACCAAGGACTTGCTGGAAACACAGCCAGGCCTCCCGCGTTAGAACGTTGGCAGTGAGGCCAACGGCTGCATGGTTTTTATTTGTTGTTGTTGTTAATCCTCACCTGAGGATATTTTCCCATTGACTTTAAGACAGACTGGAAGGGAGAGA